AATGTAAAAAATATTGTATAATAAAAAAGGTAAAACGTTTATGAACATTATTTTTGAATATACGTATTTACATAAGAAAAAGCACACTAACATAGGGAAGGCATGGATGTTGCAATCGCTTTTGCAACGACACCCTATGGGGGTCGTAGTACGCATGTAGTACTGCAAAACCATTTTGGCTTTTTTCAGAATGAGTGTTTGTTTTCGATGTACAATAAAAGCATCTAGCAAGGTTCGTTGAACACATTAGTAGAGTATTAGGTTGCAACGCTGCTTGACCCCGGGTACGAATCTCGATTGATGTATTTTTTTTTTTTATTTCAATTTTCTATTAGAAATATACTTTTTGGATATCATGTACTATATACTGCATATTATATATTACCTTGCGCATATTTTAAGGTTGAAATTAATTTTTTAACGTAACATATCATCCCGGAATACCTACTTGCTGTAGGTGAGTAAGTTTTTACAACGATTTTTATGTTTGGTCGTAAGTTTATTTCGTTTTATCGTGACAGTCACATGAAGGAAGGTTTGAAAGTTTGAAAATGGATAGTGATTCTGTGCGTGCAAGTTGTTCTGAAGAAATAGTCATCGATAGTGATACACATCATGACTATCAAAAAATCGAATACATATCATTAACGTAAATCAAGCAGTATTCCCAGTAGAATTAAATAAACAATTTTGCAGTTGTGAATCTAAAGCATTCATTCGATGTACATGGTGATTAAAAATTTTGTTTCCACTGCTTTTTCGAAAATTATCACCCAAGTTCATGTACATCATAATCGAAATTGTTTGTTTTAAAAAATATATCGGAACATTAGTTATAAATAAGTCATATTTAACGAATGTATTTTTAAAAGAAAGTGAAAAAAAAGAATAGTGTAAGAATGTTTCAACGGGACTCGATCTCGCGACAGAGGAATTATTATGCTGATGTTTTACTGACCTCACCGAATTCGCTATTGACAGAGTCGTTTATAATTCATCAAGTAAGCAGCAATAATAACTTCAATGTTGAATATCTCGTAAACTATAAATCGTCTGCCCCCAAAACTAAATATCATTCGCTTCAGTTTTCCACTGTACAAAGGCTCATCAAAAAATTAGCGTCATATCTGGGCCCGTTCCCTTGTCAGTCTCTCTTTCTTCTTCATCAAACTGTTTCTTTCTAGTTCGTCGACGCCTTCAAACTTTGGACGGATTCGAAGCTGATCGAAACATTTGGTTACACATACAATGTATGTAGGTATAAGAACCAGCCGAGGTGTCGATTCTAAATTTACATGCGGCTCCAGCCGAGCGCGAACATAGAAAGAGACAGAGAGAGGAAAGCGAGAGAGAGAGAGAGAGAGAGAGAGAGAGAGAGAGAGAGAGAGAGAGATCCAAGGCACGAAGCTAGGAACCAAAAAATATCGGCGGGCGGGAGACAATACTAATGTAACAATAAAACTTTTTTATTTATTAATTTTTTTAAATCTAACTTTTTCCAATGTATTTGTAAGATTTGTATGATTACAATGAGACCAAACACGTTATACACACAGCGAAACAGGAAAGTATTTGGCTATTTGTTTGTATTTTATATTTCATATTATCTCTTATACCAAAATTTTTTTTATAAGAGTCTCATCGTTAGACGCCTGCTCGGAGAAGGGAGAGTACGGGGGTTTGTTCCTGGACGCTTATCGCTTGTCCGATGTTAAGAATTCGGTGACAATATCTGGATCCCTCTTGAGCTGAAAAAAACAGTTTCTCCTGGACAGTACCGCACTCTCTCCCTCCCCCCCCCTTTTTTTATACGTGGAGAAATGCATTTACGCACACTCCCTCAAACGGAGGGGGTAGTGTGGGGCTCTCCCCTCAGAAGGAGGGGGTAGTGTGGAGCTCGCCCCTCAAAAGGAGAGGAATACCCACTAAAACTCCGCCAAAATAAATATTAACAAAAACAATCTTAGCATTCATGAAATGTTACATGCAGAAGTTTATTACAAGCATGCAACATGGGCTCGCCCCTCAGAAGGAGAGGAATACCCACTAAAACTCCACCAAAATAAATATTTCATCCCCTATGACATCCCCAACACGGGTACGGTCGACACTCGTCAATCGAAATTTAGATATTTTTTAATATTTATTTCTCGAAAACAAGAGAGAGTTGCGCGTTCCTACTTTCAGAGATTGTTCTACATACCCTTCTTTACATAGGAAAAAATTCTGATTAAAGAATTCGGTGCACACTTCGCGTGCGTATGTTATTAAATAATTGAAACTTTGTTTGAATATCTATATAGTATACAATCTAATATTCTTTTTTGTTTTATTACAGAATGAGCAGCCTGGAGAAAGGTATGATTACTTATTTATAGTAACTGAAAAATATTATAAAATTTTATATTAATCTTTGTTTGTTTTTCCAACAGTTACATACGGTCTTGATAGATTGACCTTCGGGGATACTTACATAATAGGACAATATGGGGTGTCATATATTGTCACACCACTGGGTATGCCGCAGCCCCCGCTACCACCACCAGCCTTCGCGTGGCCGCAACGCGAGAATGTGGCACATTTAAAAATAATCGTTAACCAAAATTATGTCAATAATTTTTTATTAGTACTTAAAATTAATATATTTCGTTATACTAATTTCAGTGTAACAGGCGGCGGCGGCAGCGCGGTAACAGACGCCGCAGAAGGGCCAAGGCGGAGAAAATAGTAGTAAGACCACCTGCGAATCAACGAGGGTCACGGATAATCAAAAATGTCTATATTACAAAAAATTAAAAAAAAAATAAACTAAAATTATCAAGTGTATATTACCTTAATTTGTATTTCCCATATACACCCTAGTCCAGAAGTTCCCCAACTTTTTAGATCCGCAGCTCCCTTAGTATACAGATTACACTAACCAACAAATTTAAACTTTTTTTAAATTCCGCGATATCCAGTAGGTGATTCTTATAGGGTTCCTCGTCCTAAATACAAATCTGAAAGTGAAATTGCTCCATCACCCTTGGTTTTCGAGAAATTCGAGATTTTGTAAATACGGTCGATTTTGAGAGAAAACGTAGTACTACTTGAAAACTACGAACACTAGAAAGTTCTATTTAGTCCTAAATGATAGAGGAGTGTTTTCTGAATATGAATTATCTGCTCTTTTGAATGCCTGTAAATGAACGCCGAAGTTCAAAAAGTTGCCGACGCGAGTACTTTCCACGAAATACTTTTGTATTTTAATAAAAAGTTATTCACTTAGGTCGAATGTACTATCCATTATAGGTTTCAGCAAAAATTTCTGAAGAGAAGTTGCCATAATCGAATTTCCAACAATTGCGTTTGACATTGTTTTCCAATCGGTTCAATAGTTTAAATGTTACGGGCCAACACATATGAGAAACCTTCAATTTCTTCGGCTAAATTAGAACTCAAAAATTTCTTCCATCGCCATGCAAAATTAGTAACTGTCAAATTATGTCCAGTTTCTTATTGTTTACGCATAGATCACACTTTTACGAAGAAAGCAAGCTTTTGTCGAATAAAATCTATGGATAAATACCGTAGTTAGGAACAATTGAGTAAAGGTACAACAATTCCAATTTTACTCTGTTTTTGTATCATTCTCCTATTTATATAGGAAACGTCAATTTAATTCACTTTGATTAGAAATAAATGTTGTATTGCTTAACTAACAATTATTCATAAACAAATTTCATAATAATATTTTGTTTACATAAAGAAATAAGTATTTTCCTTCACATTTTTCAATTTTAATATTTCATCTGGCCAGTAAAAATATTTTTTTTCCAACAGTTGGCCATCCCTGGTCTACACCACGTGGAAAACCGTGTGTAGACTGACGATATAGTAACAACAGAACAGACGACGACAGCGCCACAACGGAAAGCGCGACAGCGAGGCAGCCATATTGCCAGACAAATCATCAAGATTTCACAGCAACGAAGCTCATCAAGTTTTTTGAAGCGAAGAAGCAATATTTTCTCACGATTCTTTTTCTAAAATATTCTCTACATCACTCCACATGCCACTCTAACGCCCGATTTTGCAATTTCGGTCTTGAAACTTTATAAATAATAAAAGTATGGTTTCTTTTTTTTTATAGAATAAATTTGTTTACAAACACTTTTTCCAAAATCGGGCCTTACAGTGGCATGCGCCAAGGTATAAGGAATATTTTAAAACCAGAATTATTAGAAAATATTGCTTCTTTACTTCAAAATCCTTGACAAGAATCACGCTAGCCTAATCGTCCTGTCTTCGTCTCTCCTGCAATTGTTGTATCGCCCTCTCTGTCGTTGTCCCGGAGTTTCCTACTTTTTCCGCGATTATCGCTGAAGTCAACTCGGAGTTTGGTTCTGGGTCCTGCGCACCCTTAACATTCAAAATCGGTTTACGAAATTCGTTTCTTTTCCTGTTACCTTTAACACTACTTGTATTATTCACGATGTTCCACCAGTTGCGAAATATTTCTAAAAAATGGGCAGTATCTGTATAATTAAAATCTTTCATAACTGCCATTGTTGAATGATGGAAAATATTATTTACTAGAAAAACTTTTTGCCTATCAAAATTATTAGGAAACAATGGTTTATAATTTAATTTATAAGCTTTCGTAATAATTAAATATTTTTCAAAATCGTAAACTGTAAGTAATTGGTTAAATTTAGCTAATCTTTGTTCATTTGTATAAAAGTCGGGGAAAATAAAAACAAAGAATTTAGAGTTGAGTAGCACCGTCGAAGGGCTCGAGGCTAACGAAAAGCAACTGCAGAATATCATAGAAGCGAACTCGATCGAGATTAATAGGAACAATCAAAATATAGAGAAGGTTATTGTTCTTATTACGGAAACAAATATTTATAGACAAACCGTATTAAAATTTCTAATCATTTTCATATTTAAAGCGAAACGGAGTAATTTATGTGTTAATTGGGTAAGCAAATATCAAAATAATTTAATGGACACAGCTATAATGTTTGTAATAATATCGTTTATATGATTGTACAGTGTAATATGATGTAATAAAAATCGACAGAAATTAAATGTTTTATAATTATCTCAAAACAAATTTGATAAGTAGGTTTTGTTTGTACATTTAACATAAAGCACTTAAGATCTAAAAGCGAAGAATTGACACGACATCGAATATCCTATTACAATAAAACTACGAGAGAACTATATATACAACTTTTCTCTCATTTGTCTAATGAATTTTGCTACACATTACCCTCAGGGGCTGCAGTTATGTTTGAGCATAGCTGTAGTACGGGTCTACCGATCCTGAGGTACTCGTGCTATAGATGAGCTAGTGGGAGAATTACGAATAGATATTTAAATAAATGCAAAGTAATGCAAAGTAAATGCACGATTGATGCATCAGGGCATCTTACAGTCAACTTACGCGACTTTTACACCCTTAGAAATAAAACTCACTCACTTTTGATACTCCAAATGCTTCAATTGGGTTTCAAATAATTGAACGTTACGTTGATTCCAGTTCCTTTATTTTATCCTCTAGTTCTCTTATACGTTGACATCGAGAACGGCATAGAGCTTTCATTAACGCTTTTTCTTTTTCCAATTTTTGAATTTTTATATAATCCTATACATACAAACAGTACGATTAGAATTAGATATCGATTCAGAATTCGATTAGAATTAATACGCGAACGATTCTTTCAAATATCGGATGAAAATACATGGTTAAAATTTTAGAATTCTGGTAAAATATGATAAAACACCACTTTTTTTGTTTGATATTTGAGAGTTCGTGTATTAGATATCTAACCGACCTCGACAATTCCGCTGCCAGTGCTGCAGAAACGTATAGAATCGTTGGGAAGTGTTTGGCAAGCTTGATCATTTCTATTGAGACGCCATCGTCTACACACTTCGCATTCCCACGTATTAACATCGTTTAGAGTTCTTTGTAGTTTCCTTATTTCGGAATTTAAATATGCATTCTGTTCATAAAAAGTATTACACGTTTAGAATTTGAATTCCATATTTGTATTACATTTTTAGATATTTTTCCGTATAATTTCATACATACCTTAGTGCGAAAAGCGAGCAAGTGTTCTTCCAATTCTTTGCACTTCTTTTGATACGGGAAGCTCTCGCTTTGAATTTGAATCTCCAACGTCGCGATTTTCCCATTTTTTGACACCAACTCCAATTCCAATTCGTGAATTTTCTTTTTCAATTGCAGACACTTTTCCTCGTAATCGTAAAGGTTTTTATTAGACGTAAGAATCTCGAATTTTCTTTTCGCGTTTTCTTCTCGTTTCTTGTAATCGTTCAATCTCGTTAGCAGTTCCAAATTTTCCGACTTCAACTTATCAATAATATCCTTTACCTGCGTTGTTTCAACGTCTCTTACATCCATTTCCAATTTCATTTTGAACCCATCGATCTGATCTCGAAGTTTCTCGTTAACTTCGTTCAGGCATCTTATTTTCTCAGTTAGCTCGTTGATATGTACGTTCTCTGTTAGACGGGAGTATAATTTGTTCTCTAATTTGGAGATTTCATCGTCTCGTTCTCGAATTATTCCTGCGTATTCCTCCAGCTCGTCGTCCAGTTCTTTGTTCTTGTCTGTGAGTTGTTGGACCTGTCTCGCGTACTCTTTAAGCTCGTTATCCTTTTGGCCAGCCATTAATTTCTTACCTTCTAATTCTGATACGATTGAATTCTTTTCTAATAGAAGCGCGTTGTACTTACTTTCATCTATCAACGAACTCAAACTGCTGTTTTTGGACAACGTCGTCTTAAGCTCGCTGTTTTCTTTCATTAAGACTTCAACCTTACCCTTTAAATCAGCTACCTCTTTTAACGTCTGATTTTTAATCTCTTGAAGCTCGGTCACGCGATTGCTCGCTCCTTCTAAATTATTCAACAGCCTTCCATTCGTCTCTTTCAGCTCCTCTATTTTCGCTTCCATTTCCATCTTGCTAGTACTGTTCCTGCCTTTCCTCTCCAGCTTCGCATTTTCTTGTCTAAGCTCCTCGTACTTTTCTTTCAACTCGTTCAGTTTCTCTATCAGTACCACGTTCTTATTATTCAGTTCGTTCAACTGTTTGACCAGTCCAGCATTCTTTATCTCTTCGGAATTCAATTTGTCTTTGATTATTTCCAACTGCGCTTCCCTTTCCGCGAGCAGAGCCTCCGTTTCACCTTTGTATCGCTCTATGGACGACTTTTGTTTCTCGATCTTCTCCTTTAACGTTTCGCATTCTGGCATTATAGTTTCAAGCTTCGTCTTGTACTCTGATAACTCGTCACATTTCTTCTTTAAAACTTTTGCAATCTCTTCTATATGCGAATCCTTTTTCTCTACTTTCTGAATCATTTCGTTGTAAGCTTCTTTGAGTTGTTCGAGTTCCAAGTTAACCCTCTCTATATTTTGATTGTTCCTTTTAATCTCGATCGAGTTCGCTTCTATGATATTCTGCAGTTGCTTTTCGTTAGCCTCGAGCCCTTCGACGGTGCTATTCAACTCTAAATTCTTTGTTTTATAAGATTCTATAGTATACTCCAGATCGCTTATCTTCTTCTCGCATATCTCTTTCTCCGATTCTATCTTCGACTCTAATTCCCTTTCTTTGTTTTTAAATGTCTCTTGGGTTTCTTTCTCCTTTTTATGAGCGATAAATAAATCTTCTTCTTGCCTATTGTCGACCTTGTATCGCTTCTCGAATTCCATCTGCCAGTTGTTCAAATCTGCCTCGAGCACCTTCACGTTGCTTTTGAGAATCTCGTTCTCGTGGTTACTCTCTCTTAAAAGATGCTCTAATTGCGAAATATTATTTTCATACTCCTTATGGACGCGTTCCCGTTCCGTTAATTCATTTTGAAGCTTCTCGATTTCCGCTTCCAACTCCTTCGCCCATATCGTGGCACGTTTCTCGGTATCCGCGCTTTGCTGTTTCTCGTCCACCAATTTCTGTTTATCTTTTTCAAATCTTTCTCGTATGGTTTTAATCATATCCTCCTCTTTCGACACGAACGTCTGTAGCAAGATCACGAAGATCTCGTTCACAGATTTACCTGAGAGATCTTCTGAAGTTCTGTTACACTTGAGCGACCTTAACTCTTTCGTCATACATTTTCTAATGTCGTTCAACGACTCGCTGAGCTTTTCGTTGTCGTTAATTAATACTTTCTCGTTGCTAACTGCGCGTTCGTTTTCGATGATCGTGGCATTGCATTTCTCCTCAATATCTCGCAGTCTGGAAAGTTCGCTCGTTAATTCCAGATTTTTATTAACGTGCTCGTTTAAAGTATCTTTAAGTGTTTTAAGATTGCTTTCAAATTCTTCGATACGATGCTCGTACTGTAGAGACAGCGATTCAAGCTCGTCTTTGTGTTTACTTTCTAATTTACTTTTAGAATCTGTTAACTCAGTTTCGACTGCTTGCAATTTTTCCGTGAGAATACATTTTGCTTGTTCGCTGTCTTGCAATGACTTTTCTATCTGGAATACTTTTTCTTGGACTTCCTTGTACAAGCATTCCTGTTTCGTTTTATCCAATTGAAGATCGTTTACGCGTACTTCCAATTCTTTGATTCTAACTGAGACTTGTTGTTCTATTTCCGAGTTTTTCTGACTCGTAACTAAATCTAATTCATTTTTCAAAGACTCTATACGCTCGTTCAATTGATCAACTAATGTATTCTTACTCTCTTCCTTCGCTTTCAGTTCCTCTAGTTCAGTTTCTAACGTTAGCTTCTTGCGTTCAAGATCCTTTTCCCTCGCCAAAAATTGTTCCATCTCGCTACTCGTGTTAGACAATTCATTCTCGAGAACTCGTATTTTCTCTATCAAGGCGATCTCGTTACTAGATACTTCCCGTCGTAGCTCCTCGTTAGCAGCTTTCAATGCGTCGATTTCATCCAAGAGCATTTCTTTTTCATTTTTCAATTCACCGAGCGTAACAGTGAAATCCACGCTCTTCGTCTTGAGTTCGTGCATATTGTCTCGCAATCGGTCGATATGATTCTGTATTTGTTCTATTCTACGTCTACTCTCACTCGAACGTTCCTTTGACTCGGTACTCGTTGCATCCGTGGTCTTCTTTTCCTGAACCTGGAACTCTGTAAACTCGTTACACTTATCTTCGTACAGAATCGATAATTTATCATGATTTGCCTTTAACGTTTGTAACTCGTCGTTCAGATTCCGAATTCTCTCCTCGACGAAGCTCACGTTTCCTTCGTCCACGAAACTCACGTTCGCAGAAACATCGTGTCGGCTCGAATTCAATTCTCGGCTGATTATTCCCTTCAACCTTTCGACATCTACGCACTTGCGATCTAATTTACCTTGCAGGTCCTCTAGTTTCTGAGTCAGAGCTTTCTTCTCGAGTTTAAGAGCTCTGCGACTCTCGTTCAAATTTCTTAAGTGCGCGCACTGACTACAGGAAGTTAATTTCAAGTCGCTAAGCTTTTTATTTAAGCGAGTTAAGTAACCAATTTTCTCCTGTAACGTTGTAATTATACCCGCGAGTACTTCGTGGTTTTCTGTCTGTACAATATTTTGCTCGATATAATTTGCAGTCTCGATACTGTCGCTGAATGTTATCAATGTATCTCGTAATTGTTCGGATGTAGAGCGATCGAAAACTTCCATTGCTTCTAACAAGTTGTTGGAAAATTTAGTGTTCTCTTCAGAAAGTATCGTCATTTTCGCCTTCAATTCTGCTATTTCTGCCTTCAACATGTTATTCTGCGATCTTAAATGATCCTCGCTATTCTCGACAGAATTCTCATTCATTAATTGAAACTGATCTATTTTGCTTTTCAATATATCGCATCGTTCCTTCAGCACATCATTTTCTTCTATTTTGTTTATTAAATCCGTAGAAAGTTCATTATTCTGTAATTCTAAACATTCGTTCTTTTGAGCGAGGACAGCTACTTCTTCCTTATAAATGCACTCGTGATCGTACAAAAGCGACTTGGTTTCTTTGATACTTTTAAGCTCGTTATTCTTCTCCACGATAGTAGTCGATAATTCAATGTTCTCAGCTGTTAAATTATCGATTTTATTTTGATACGTCGCAACTATTTGTTCCTCGCTTCGAGTTTCCGTTATTCTAGAACGCGTGGACTTCAATTCGTCGTTCAAAGCTTCTAAATTGCTTTCTAAATTAATTTTCTCCACTGTAACTTCGCTGATGCGACTGTAAAGTTCATCGATTGTTTTTTGAAGGTCAAGTTCTGCCCTCTTTGCGTTCTCTTGCTCTGTGGCTAATTTGCCAGCTATTTCCGTATTCTCAGTTTTCAGTAAAGAAATAGTCTTTCGAAGAGTTTCTACATCCTGTTCGAGACTCTCAACGTTACATTTTGTTTCATTCAGTTCCTGATTTTCCAATCGAACATTTTCTTTAGATTCGCTCATTTTTAATTCCGTATCTAACATTATAGCCCCTTTGCCATCGACAATTACATTTTCTACATCTTTCTCCGTATCGTTTTTCACTTCCAATTCTAAAATCTCATTTTGTTCGTCGCATGATTCACAATTAGTATCCTCCATTTCTTTTCTTTCTTCATTATCTCTATTTTGTCTGTCCAACTCGGAAATTACTGCCATCGCTTCTCGATTTGTATCTTGGTCCGATGTTATCCTCGATTTCAATTCCGTATTAACATGTTCCAATTTGCATTTCGAACGCGTTATATTTTCAATTTCCTTTTCCAGTTCAGAGATCTTTTCAATCGCCTTTCGACGCTCGGTTTGCTCTAATACAACTGTCGATTGCAATTCTGCATTAAGATGTTCAAGTTCATCTTTTTCGTTGCTAACTTCTTCAATCTTTTTCTCCAATTCGGTAACCTTTATCGTCACCTGTTCATTTCCAAATTTCGATTCGAAATTGGCAGTCTTTTGATTTAATTCAGCTATTAATTGATCGTTCATACGTTTAAATTTGTTTCTTTCCGAAGCAATCTCTTGAATAAATTCTTCTAGCTTCGAAATTTTTTCAATCGCTTCTTCTTTCGCAGCTCGCTCTGAAATTACCTCCGATTCTAATTTCGCGGATATTTGGTTTAACGTGGCTTTCAACTCGGCGTTAATCTGCTCGAACTCGTCCTCCTTAGATGTAACGTCTTCGCTTTGTTTCACGGATTCCGTAGTGTCTGCCGTCGCGACTTCGGAATCGAACTTCAATTTCTTCGACTGTAACGGCTCCTTGTTATGCGTGCAATAATTATTATTTTCTTGGCATATCAGTTGCTTCTCCATAACTGTAAATTGACGGAGTTCCGCATACTCCTTTCCTAAATCTTCGATACATTGTCGTAAAATATGTTTTGGCGTGGAAGGAGACACCTCATAACTTAGCGTTTGAGTTGCTGTGTCACATTTCTCTGGTGTTATATTAAGATTAATTTTTTCTGGTGTTATACTGTCCTTGAATCTAGCGATTAATACATCATCCATAAATGTAACACGACGATTACGTTTCGTGACGAACGATTCGTCGTCGCTGTCGGTAACGTCTCCTCTACTTTCGCGAGCTCTTTCACTTTCAAATAATTCCAATTCGAAATCGGTGAAAGCCGTTTGAAATGTTTGATTTATTATATCTGCGGATTGAATGATACTCTTCCTGTTATGTGGCTTCTCGCAAGACATTTTTTTTATAGGCGATAACTCAGTTGCAGGCTTAAAAGAAGGCAAATGTTGATTAAACAGTCCCGGACCGCCCCATGTTTGTCTTCGTTTAGATTTATACTTGAACGATTCTTGATTCGTAGTATCTCCAGACACGATTCGCGTCTTCAACAATTCTATACGCTCTTCCAACAACTGATTGACGCGTTCTTTTTCCTGTAATTTCGATTCCATCTCTTTAACTTCTGCTACGCGATTTTCTGTTTTTATTCTCTGAAAAAGAAAATCAATTTACGCAATTACAAATATATTTTATGCAACGAGTTACAGTAATTATTACGACACGAATTCGAGTTATAGACCTGTAATTCTGCTTTAAGTTTCGATAATTGTTTCGCGTATCGTTTCAAAAGTGCTGCATCGGACATAACTTCGTTAATTTCTGGCTTGTTTTTTACACTTTTAGCGCGACATGCGAACCTAAAAATTGACAAAATAAAATTAAGAATTTGTAATAATTAGGAATGGTAGGAATATATTATATTAATTATGATAGCAGTGTACTAACGACAAAGTGCATTGAGTTTCTTCCAAAGCAGCTGGAGTCACGGCGCACAGTATAGCCGTCATAGCATTACCGCCAAGCGAACTCTGCAACAGTCTTGTTAATTTACTGTCACGAAAATTAACATGTTTCTGGCTATCTTGAGATTCACTCAATTGCATGATTACTAATCCTAGGGTTGATAGAGACATGTTAATGTGTCGTCCTTCTTTAAATCTTTCGCCTGTTGCTCCTGTTTGTCGTGCTCTTTCAGAACCAGCGAGATCTACTAGATTCAATTGGGAGACTTGTATAGCACCATCCGAATCTCCTTCAGCTTCTCTGCTTTCGATTGTCTAAGCGGGAAACATACATTTGTCGAAAAAGTGTATTCTAAAGCATGCTTAGCTCAAAGTGAACTTACAATTCTAAATATGGTATGACTTCTACTACTACGTTCGTTCATGTTAGTTTCTCCAATTCTTCTTATTTTATCTCCTTTCTTCATCAAAGATATCACGCTCTCTGGACAATTTGTGATTTCTTCTTTACATTGTAAAACTATTTGTCCATTACCGTCCTCTTTAAGCTTCAAATCGGTATTATTTTTGTTCAATAAATCGTTGACTCTTTCGTTGTAAAGCTCTAAATATGATACTCTGAAAAATGAAAGTAATCTTTCGTATAAAGTTTAAGAAGATCAATTTTATATTTATCTTCTTAACTACAAAATAACTATCATATCAGTTTCCATGATAATAAGTATACCTCAATAAAAATTCCCTTCCGATAGTGTTTCCAATCGCGTCAAACATATAATCAATCGCAAGTGGGACTATCCCGAGTTCTTGGGATGTCCCGAGCATGCTGTACGTTTTACCAGAGCTTGTCTGCCCATAGGCAAACACCGTTCCATTGATGCCATTCACAGCAGCATCGACAATAGGCTTCACGATAGTATTGAAAACATCCATATTAGTTGCATCGGTATCAAAAATATGATCTGTGGACGTAATCCAATCAAATAAACTTCGTTAAGAATAAAATGAAGTTTTACTATTCAAAATCTTTACAGACGCTGGATACGCACCGAAGCAAAATCCTCCATCTCCACGTTTTTTCATCTCCGAATCGGTCGGGACAATACAGTTCCCTTGAACTACCCATTGTATCGTTTGATTCTCTTCTTTCTCGCGTTTTATTAACGGTCTCACTCTAATCGCAACTTTAATGCTATCCGACATTCTTACTCATTAACGTATCGTTCGATACCATCAAATAATTAATAACAATATTTACATCGCTTGCGACTTTCCCATAATTGTAACCGCCGTTTGAAAAGGAGACTCTCTCAATGTCAATTTATATTTGAATTTTCTGCAGTCCGATTGGCCGCTTTAACCATAAATTTGCTATTAGCAAGGCGGCCGCCTAGCGCGTAGTCTACGCTACTGCGGGCGCTCCAACGGTATACGCGCGGTCTGATTGGTCAGTGTTTTCCGTTAATATCTCCTTAACGAAGCTTCGGACAATATTTCCGCTAAGGAAAAAGTTGTTTCAAACCACCTCTCGAACCACCCCTTTCAAGGTGTTACAATATTTTTGGGACACCCTGTATAGCTCTTATTTAATCTCTATCTGTTCATAATAAAATGCGTATGAATGCTCCGACCTGAGGTCCCATTGAAGGTCATATGCAGTCATATGTCATCAGGATGGGCAAAATCCTAGGCTTCGAATAAATCTAAAGTTTGCTGATATGTTTGTCTCGTTTCCTCTTTTAAACATTTTCGCCTATCTCTGTCACATACAATGGGTTCCACTAGTCACGTCTATGTTACCAGATTCGGTTCCCGCTCACGCATGCGCGTCAAAAAAAGCTGAGCGCGCAGTGCTGTAGCTATAGGAAACAATATATGATCCCATAGCAACGGTTGGCACCAAAACCAGGAAAACCGTTTCTTTTGCTATAAAAAATGTGTTTTGTCTGTAAAATTACTTCAACCTCTATCCCTATGTTATCATTCATCCATACAATTAATGTTATTGCATGTTAAACAGTATTTCCAGTTTTCATTTATAATTCTATTTTTCTTTGGAGCGATTAAAGGTGCCAGTTTTATGGTCGTATTAGATACTTTACTGTCACTAACAATAAAACCAGTGCGCATGCGCGACTGGAAACCGAATCTGGTATCACTGGATCTGGTTTATTTCTTTTTTTCTTTTCTCTAGATGAAATTGGATGAAATATAACTGCATGAAAACTTGGTTATAATTATTGTAGCTCCTATGATTAGTTTATTTCAGAAAAAAAATGTATAAAATTTAAAAAACGATAAAGACTACACAAGTAGTAAGTTATATTTGAAAGAATTTGCATAAATAGAAAACATGAATCACTATATAATATTTTTATTTGTATTTATCCTTGAAAGAGGAATTTGTTTTGAAAATTGTAAGCCAAATATAGGTAAGTTTAGTTCAAATTGAAAGTCAAATATGACTGAAACTTGTTCGCTTAGAAAAATAGTAATAGATTGTATTTTATGCATAGTCTAATTTTCATATTTATATATTTTAGCTATTATCGGTGGTGGTATTGGTGGTGCAGCAAGTTCGCATTTTCTTACAGAATTATTTAAAAATAATCTTAACATTGATTTATATGAAGCAAAAACTATCGGTGGACGCCTAGCCACAATTCAAATGGATGATAATGAATTTGAAGCTGGTGGTTCAATTATACATCCTGAAAATAAGTACATGCAAGAATTTGTTAAACTACTTGGTACCTTATGTCCTTTTACAGTTATAATTGTATAAATATTTACAAAATAATGTTAATTTAATCATTGTTTTCTTTGTAATTATGAAGCTTCTTAATGAACTCTTTTTTTTATTTATTTAGGTTTAGAACACGTGCCAAGTAATAATCAAAGAGCAGGGATTTGGAATGGTGAAGAATTCGTATTTGAAGAAAGTAACTGGGAAATAGTATCTTTAGCTAAATTATTTTATAAATATGGTATTCAACCATTTAGTCTTAATAGGTATTTTGCATCACTTTTTGATAATTTGTTAAAAACATGTTACTAATTGGTATTACAATAATAGTTGATTTTATTTATTTCAAATAGATATATAAATTCCATAGTTAATAGCTTTGCAAAGATATACAACTTACAGGACGCTGGAAAATCATTTGAAAATATCACTAGTTTCTTAACAGTAATGAATGCAGAGTTCCCAAAGTTATTACAAATATCTATTAAACAATACCTTTTAAACTTGGGTTATGCAGAAAAATTAATCGACGAGATTGTTAAGGCTACATCTGTCGTAAACTATGGACAAGATACCAATATTCATAGTTTTGTTGGTAGCGTATCTTTAGCTGGAGCAGGTTTCAACTTGTGGTCCGTTAAAGGAGGAAACAAAAAGGTTATTTTTATTAATCTCTCAATAGATGTAGTTTCATTTAACAATTAATGATGTGGTAATGTTTTAGGTACCTGAACATTTAATATATAGAAATAGAAATGTAAACATTGTACCTTCCTGTGTTACAAAAATTGTTAATGTGCCAATAGAAAATGGTACCAATTTATATGAAGTGCATTATCGCAATAAAGGTATGCTATATAGTTAATAATATCCTTGTTATAACTCGTTGAATAATTATGTCTATTTCAGATAGTACAACTGTAATGAAATCAACGTATGACATTGTAATTGTTGCAACTCCTCTTATTCGTGATCAAGAATTTCCTATAATTTTTGAAGGATTTCCTAACAATGATCTTCACAGCATAGGAAAATATCATAAAACTAGAGTTACTTTTGTTCAAGCAGATTTAAAACCAAATTATTTTGGTTTAATAGAAGGAATAGATGCTATACTTAGTTGCGAACCCAATAAAACAATAGTTAGTTCTGTGGGAAAATTGAGTTCTGTAGATGGCTTAATGAAACATAGCAGGGTTTGGAAAATCTTTAGCAATACACCTTTAAAGGAAGGAATTATAAATGAAATGTTTTCAAATGTATGATATGTAATATTTATAATATTTACAAAGAAAAAAATAATACTACAATTGATAAGATTTAACGAAATGTAAAACCACTATAATATTTTTTTAGATCAATGCGGTGAAGGAAATTGTTTGGGATGCATATCCTGAATATTCAACAGAAATTCATGAAGCAAAATTTAAACTGCACAATGCGCTTTATCATGTGAATGCCATTGAATGGGCTGCCAGTGCAATGGAAATGAGTGCAATAAGTGGAAAAAATATCGCAATTTTAGCGCATGAAAATTTTTCTCAAAAATGTAATTTTAAACGTACTCAACAAACACAAGCTGATGTACCTGAAAATACACCATCTATAGAATTATAGTAATTATACTATATGTTATTACATACGTATGTGATTGCAAATTATTTTAATAAAACTACTTTAAATACATGAAGTTTAAAATTATAAAAAAATATAAAATCATATGATTGATCTGTAAAATAATATGCTGAAAATTCTTATAATTTGATTATTTTATCAAAAATGTAAAATGATTCTTTAGATTAGATAATCATTTATAAATAATTGTGTTATTTGGAATTATGGAATGCAGTGGAATCGAGGCGTTGTAAGCTGTAAACATTTGTGACGAATTGTGAGCCAAAGTATAATGTAACATGACCGTATACAGTCATTGTTCGCGGAGTTATGATTATTTAAAGTTGAGTGAATTTCAATAAAACCTTTTGTTGCTTCGTGTATTATAGATCTTACAAATCTTTTATTACATATATACAGATATACATGAAAAATAAAATGTAAAATACTTTTTTTTTATTTACTGAAATATGCAGATCTTTTTCTAAATATAACGTTGGTTTTTTCATGAGGCCAAAAAATACACCGATCAAGAGCTAAAACATTGCAGCGAACTCTTTGCATTGCAGATGATACATATTTCGACCATGAATTAACAATTACCAAGACATTGGCATAGTATTAAAAAATAATCCTAGTCCCACCTTGCTTTGTTCCATTTGAGCCGTGCACAATGGAGCAAGACGCAAATAAGTAGTAGGACGTGGGACTGCAGCTTTTCAGCGCGTGAGCGCTTAAATCCAGGGATGTGAACCGAAACAAAACTATGTAAAGCGTTTCACTTCGGGTTCGGAGTGAAATTATTTCGCTCCAGAAACGTTTCACTACAGAAGCGAATCAATATTATATGTTATAGTTTTGTTTCGCTCCAGGAGTGAAACTGTTTCTGGAGCTGAATTCATTTAAAAGAAGCAGTATAATAACTGTTCGGTTTCGGTTACAAAACGCCTACTGGTGGGGGAAAGTAGCGAAATTGAAACAGCTACGGAGCGAAATGTTACGAATTCTGTTTCGGTTCCTTTGATTCACTTTTAGTATTTTTACTCTTTTCACTATTTCCAATATTTTCATTATTTTCATTATTTTCATTGTTTATTATACTCATTATTTTAATTATTTATACTTTCATTTTTGTTTTTGTTATTTTTATTATTTTTAATGTTTTTACTACTTTTATTATTTTCATTATTTTTTGTGCCTTTCATATGCTTTGCGTTTACAAACGTTCCAGACGTTTCCAAATTTTCCAAATATTTGCATGTCACTACACGTATACATAGATACGTGCTCACACGCATAATCTCGCGATTCTCGCGATTGTCTTTTACAGGTTTCGGCGCTTTGGAAACGTTCTGTTTCTGGACGCTTCCAAACACCACAATACTAGTACAAATACAAATATGTGTATAATATATATTGATATGTGTTATATCGATTATGTATATTATATATAATATACATTTTCTATTTTAATATTTATGTCGCACTAAATACTAACTAACTATATATGTATAAAAAGCTATTCCTGCACGTAAAACTTACATCTAGAGTACATGACAAATTTGATAAACCAAGGGGTATTACAATGTTAATGCAATATGGTAGTTCGTAACAAATTTGTTTGTCATAGAGGACTGTTACAAATTTGTTAGTTTACAAATAATTTATTTGGAAAATTTGCAAAATCGCAAAAGTTAATGCAATGTGTTACTTCGTAACAAATTTGTTTGCAAATATTCGAGAACCGAAATAAGATAACAAGTCTATTTTCTTGACCGTAGACTATGAAAAATATTCATTGTTTTTACATACTCCGTACGTATTTGTATTATGTCTTCTCGTACCGAAACAAAATGCTATGTATGTTAGTTCAGTTCGGAGTGAAACATTTCAGTGTTCGAAGCTGGAGCGAAATTCACTATTTCGCTCCACAATGAATTACGGTTCAAACAATTTCGCTCCAATTTTACTTCGGCTCCAATTTCGCTCCAAAGAATCAATTCACTTCCAATTTCACTCCAAAGATTTCGGTTCTTGCAACCGAAACAACTTCGAATCGGTTCAGTCATGTGAATTACGTTTCGGTTCACATCCCTGCTTAAATCGAACGTGGAGTCAGGACCGATGTTAGGAGGGGGGCGCAGTGATGGGCAAAACCCTAGGATTCGAATAAATCTGAAGTTTGCCAACATGTTTGTCTCGTTTCCTTCTTTGGAAAATGTTCAAACATCTCGGCAAATTTCAGATTTGTTCGAAGCCTAGGATTTTGCCCATCACTGCAGGGGCGCCAGATTTTTTAGGGCCTCGCAGTCCGGTGTCCCTAGTATATGAATATACCGATATACAGTGTGTCCCAAAAATGTAACACCTTGAAATTTTTTAGCGAAAATGTTGTCCGAAGCTCGTTGAGGAGATAACGGAAAACCCCGACCAATCAGAACGCGAGTATGCCGGTGGAGCGTAGCTACGCGCTAGATGGCCGCGCTCATACGCTACCACGAGCGCTTCATCGGCATACTCGCGCTCTAATTGGTCAGTGTTTTCCGTTAATATCTCCTCAACGAAGCCTTGGACAACATTTTCGCTAAGGAAAAAATTGTTTCAAAATCACCCCCCGAACCACCCCTTTCAAGGTGTTACAACATTTTTGGGACACCCTGTATATACCCCTGACGGGGGACCGCGATAATCTTGCCCGGGGCGCCAATATTGATAAAACCGGCCCTCCGTGGACCTTACATATATGCATGCGTGGGCATTCTCATAAAAAAGCAACCGAACCAACCACATACAACCACACATGCGTATACATTGGTCCATTAAAATGCGATAACAGTAAAATTACTATGATTAATCAAACAGAAATCCACATACCAGTATTATCAGCAAATTATTACAAGACTACTTATACCACTCGATGCATTAATACTAAAATTCTAAACGTGACTCCAAAAACATCTGAGCACATAACCTAATTAACTTTTGGGGAAACATACGACTATCAACATTGCGCTAACCGAACATAATGAAGATGTGATCTCACCGACAAGGTAACATTTGTCAAATCTACGTAATGTCATAATATTTTATATCTAAAAGGACAGTGTAATGGAAAATCATTCAGTTCGTATAAATTATGCTCTAACACCTCGCGACACAGAACAACCGTTAATACATGATAGCCAAACTAAACAATACACAGACAACAGTAAAAAGCGCGAGGAAGTAATTGTATTAACGAGCGAAGCAAAAGGTGGGTTGTTTAATCCCAGAGCATTGCTATTTTTAACATTATGGTACTTCTTCAGTGGGTGTACTCTGTTCTTGAACAAGTACATTCTGTCTTACATGGAAGGAGATCCTACTGTTTTAGGTAAATAAATAGTGAAGTAATATTCAATTAAATTATACTTATATAAATTGTTCATATGGTTAATCCTCCATTAAATTTATAATTACGCTTTGCAAATGACTATTCGCCATACCAAGTAGACATTAATTTGTTCGAATAGGCGCCTGTCAAATGTTAATGACAGCTGTCTGCGGATTTATACAAATGTATTTTCCATGTGGAATGTACAAAGCAAGTCCTAGATTGATGAGACCATCAGGATTTTATAAGCACATGATACTGGTAGGATGTACAAGATTTACAACGGTAGTACTAGGATTAGTATCGCTCAATTATGTAGCGGTGAGTTTCACAGAAACTATTAAAAGTAGCGCACCACTCTTTACCGTCCTCATTAGCAGATATTTATTAGGTAAGAGACATAACTAATATTTTTTGTATATCTAAGTTATACACACTTTTGTACAGCGAGAAGCGTTGTTTAATTGAAATAGTGTTTCTAAAAATAAATTTAAAAGCAATTACAAATGTCCAAACTTTACTTTTAGGAGAACATACAGGGTTATATGTAAATTTATCTTTGATTCCTGTAATGGGTGGTCTAGCTCTATGTTCAGTGAATGAAATCAGTTTTGATCTCAGAGGGTTTGTTGCTGCTATGGCCACAAATGTAACGGAATGTTTACAAAACGTTTATTCTAAAATGTTAATCAGTGGTGATAATTTTAAATATACGTGAGTATTATATCAATATATATATATTGATATAAATTGTATAAAATTATACTTTATAATACATCTTTCTTAATTATATTACTTTCCCTTAAAAGTAATTATAATATATACGTAATTACAGGCCAGCGGAGTTACAATTTTATACCAGTTTAGCTTCAATTGTGGTACAAATACCAGTGTCAATTTTATTAGTAGATTTACCAACACTTGAGCATTCCTTCAGTTTTAAATTATTCATGGCATTCCTCCTTAATGGAGTCTTCTTCCATTTTCAAAGTATCACTGCATATGTACTTATGGATTATATCAGTCCAGTAACACACAGGTGTCCTTCCAAATTATATTATAAAGTAATTATATATTCGAGTATTCTGACTTAAGAACCAACCATTAAAAATACTATATTTTATTACAGTGTTGCTAATACAGCCAAGAGAGCATTTTTAATTTGGCTCTCTGTTTTGTTATTTAACAATCCGGTAACTGGTTTATCGGCTTTGGGAACATCCTTGGTAATAGCGGGAGTATTATTATATAATCGCGCACAAGAATATGATAGGTTAAACAAAGCGAAATTACGATATAATTCGAAAGTTAATTTACAGTAATATAATTCTAAAATTAATAAGAATTTATATTCAATAAAAATAGGTGTTTGCATCAAGCACATTGTCATTAAACTTAAAACAAATTTAGTAATAATTTTTATAATGATATATTTTATTCATTATGGTGACGAAATGTTTGCAGTCTCAATTAAAGTACGAAAGTGAAAAATGTATCTTGCATTCTAGATGCATTTTATAATATAGCTTTAATTGAAGACATGACGGTACAAATGAACATGATCATAACAAGTTGTATTAAACATTAAATATAACATGGGAAAAAAATAAAGGTAATGTAAGTAATTTTTGAGCAGTGCAACTCACATATGTACAAATTTATTTATGTATAATCTATAACTGACTTTTGTTTATATATATATATATAGATTGTATATCGTATATTTTAAAATATTTTCTTTCATTATGTTAAGTAATTTAATAAATTACAATTGATTTAGTAATAGTAGTTCATTCGTTTTCATTCATAAATTAGGTTAGGCTTGATATTAGCACAGCTAAACCTTTCCTTCTATACCATCCTATACATGTACTGTTTCTTTTCTTATCGTGTAATAAGCATTATTATAATTATTATTATAACTGTTTCTGATGCATAATTTACTTTAAAAACTTCAATATATGATTATCACAAACCCTTTTTTAATTTTAGTTTCAACTGTACGAGATTTTGCTGAATATAAATTACATAAATATATATTATATATAGATAATTAGGAAAATAAGTTTTTTCTTCAATAAGAAACTATTTTGGATCTAGTTCTTTCATGTGAAGTATCAGTAACCCTTTGCACTCACAATTGCAACAGCATAAGTCGTATTAGAGTGCGACGGGTTAATATTATTATGTAGGAATGTTAAAATTTAAATAATAAACTTTTTCAAAACGTCAAGTTAACCGTATAAAAAGTAACAATTACAATTGTACACTATATTGATAACTCCTCGTAGAGCTTATAAAGTTCCAGTGATATTAATGCACTGTTCATTCGTATTATTCTCACTGATTAGTGTGTTTATTGACAAGTTTTAAGAGCTTGATCAAGATCAGCTAAAATATCTCGTTCTGTTTCGAGACCAACAGACAACCGAATTAATTGATCATTAATGCCTAATGCTGCTCTGACTGTTTCAGGAACTGATGAGTGAGTCATAATGGATCTACACGAACAATTTAAAAATAGAATAGATGTTTCTATATATATTATAACAAAGTATTATTTACTTACGGCAATTCGGCAAGGGATTCATAGCCACCAAGTGATTCTGCTAATGTAAACAATTTTAGCGCCCTCAAAAACTTCCTACTATCGCCTTTAAGATAAAATGAAACCATTCCACTATAACCTGATGTTTGTCTAAGACTAAGCTCATACTGTGGATGAGAAGGAAGATCTGTAATTGAATTCAAACCTTAATAAGAGAATGAAGCAGGTCTACCATGTGATAAACTCAAAAAATTTTGTTCCAACTATTTAAATACTACTAAAAGTAATATGATATGACACATAAATATTATAAAAAAAGCAATATTTTTTATACATACACGGGTGAATTACTTTCTCTACGTAAGGACTAGACTCCAAAAATTTGGCAACTGCTAATCCATTCTTCATATGCTGCTGCATTCTAAGCTCTAATGTTTTTAGACTACGGTTAACCATAGCACAGTCAAAAGGGGATGGTACAATACCTAAGGCTGAAATAAGTTAAAAATAAATATTAGCTTTAAGCAAATACAACAGAAAATTGTATAAATTACCGTTTTGTAAAAATCGAAGTCTTTTTTCAATATCATCTCTATTTGTAATTGCTGCACCCATAATAACATCCGAATGTCCATTCATATATTTTGTTAGGGAATATACTACAATATCTGCACCTAATTCTAATGGTTTCTACAAACAAATACATCTATTGTAAGTCACTTAATTATACTATAACAAAGTATTACTCACCTGAAAGTAACATGTTAGAAAAGTATTGTCTATCACTGTTATAATTTCAGGATCTTTTTGTTTGATTAAATCAGTTATTGCCTTGATATCAATTAACTTAAGTAGAGGGTTAGTAGGTGTCTCGAACCAAACCATCTAAAAGTAAATATAAACGTATATATATATATATTTAATTATTAACTTTAGCTAATACACGGTTACTGAATTATCGCAAATTATATTCAAGACTTTTTCATACCTTTGTATTTGGTTTTATAGCAGCTACAACATTATTTAGATCTGTCATATCTACAAATGTTACTTCAATATTATGCAAGGTTAAACATTTTTGAAAGTAGCGGTTCGTCCCACCATAGACATCATCTCCAGATATGATATGTTCTCCTGCTTTTAATAACGAAGCAATTGTTGTTAGTGCACCTAAACCAGATGAAAAAACCATTCCATGTTTTCCACCATCTAAAGCAGCTAAGCATGTCTCCAGAACACATCTTGTAGGATTACCACTTCTCCCATATTCAAAACCCTAGAATGTTAAATAATAACAAATAACATGGATAATAGGAAAAATATAGTAGCATGTACAGTGATGAGCATAACTGTACCAATAACCACAGATTTTGTATACTTTATTTCATATCGTTATTAAAATTAAGGTATACAAAACAAGAATTCAATATAACAGGACATTTTACATTATTTAATGTAATATAAATAACTTTATAAAGTTGTGGATGTGTTATTGTTCATTTGCTTGTAATAAAGAATATTCTGTTGATCAGTTTTGCATGATATTTTTAACAATTAATTTTCTACTTTTAATAACTTACTAAGAGTATATAGTCTGTAGTCCTGTAACTTTTAAGACAACTTTAATTCATTAGGTATACTTTCTGAAAGATTCCAACAATAATCAGGATAAATTTTCTTCTATAATTCAGAGATGGATGATGGTGGTGTTTTGTAACATTTTGCACTTTCTGTTTTAATAATCCTCACAGATTTTCGATAAGATTGAGGTCAGGGATGTGTGCAAGCCACTCCAGTACAGAAAATGTTTGTTCTTTAAGTTTGGACACTTTTCACAGTGTGTTTTGGATCTCGATTGTGTTGGAATATATAATTGCTTCTTCAGGAAATGTAATATTTTCTATTGTATCCAGTAAATTCTTTTGTCAAATGTCTTTTTAGGTATACTGGTTTATTATTCCTTCTATTCTATGTAATTAGCTAATATCGAATGACATCATGGACTCCCAAAGCATAGTTGATCTATCTCCATGTTTTATTATTTGGTTGATGTGATTCTCCTTTTCAAATCCAATACCAAAAACGACTATCTGAACTAATTCCGTTTATTTTTGTTTCATCTAACAAAATAACACGTTCCCGTTCGGAAATTGTCCATTTTCTATATCTTTTTGCGTATTTTAAACGCAACTTAATATTCTTTTTAGATAGCATTGGCTTCTTCTTTTTGGTTCCTCTAAAATCATGTCTTGTAAGTGTTTTTTGAGGCATCTCACTACTTATTTCTGTATTTACATCACGTTTCTATAATTTTGCAGCCATACTTGCAGATTTTACTTCATTAGTGATAATGCAACGTACAATTCTGTTTTTTTTAATAGGTGTCAATTTCTTTGGTCATCCTCCAACTGAAGAAAATACATCTACACAACACTTTAACGTACCGACAAGCCATCATTTACAAGAGAAATGGTTTCTTTAATAATATTATGAGAAGTTGGTTTAACTTTCAATTTTGAAAAGTTTCAGTACTTCTCTGTTTCAATAACAACAGCAAACTGACCATTAAGTTGTATGAGCTTACAATGTAAGCACTGCTATATTCAGAGAAATTATAAAAGTAAATATTTATATTTCAGACACAGAGTTTGCACAACATGGGGCAAAATTGTATCAGTGAATATTCTTTGTTACAGGCGAATAACCCATCCACAACTTTACAAAATTGTTTATATTACATTAAATAGTGCAAAATGTTCCTGTGATATCTAGTTTTTGTATACATCAATGTCGATGACAATATAAAACTAATTATTCAATATCTGTGGTTATTAGTACATTTATGCTTTTCGCTGTAAAATAGTTATCAGAATTCTAATCCTTTTAAGTAGAAGTGAAAATCTCCATCAGCTACAATTGCTAATAATTGTTACTTATTAGTCCAATTGATATCAACTGCCTCTATTACAAGTGTATGTATCTTTTACTCTTAAAGATATATTTAATATTAACAGGAATTCAATACATATTGTACATTTGTAAAACAATATCAGAATTTAATTTGTTATAAAAAGTAACTTTCCAGTTAAATATTAAATAAAAAAAGAATATTAGGTCACTATGGAGCTATTGAATTTAATAAAATTTTGATGAAAAACAATAGAATTACTAGATTTCTAAAGTAAATGATCTTACTCTATGTTCTCCAGGTCCATCCTGATGAAAAGTAGTTGACATTACAATAGGAGGTACCACTGAACAATGAGTCCATTGTAACGGGCTTTGTCCAGCATGTATAGCTCTTGTTGAAAAGCCCTTATCCATAGACATTCTATTGAACACATTATAATATTTCATTAAAAATAAATATAATTTACTTAAAAGTTTAAATATTAGGTACTGGAAAAAATTTATGCGGTCTATTCGTTAATTGTAACTATATATCTATTTCGTGTGGTAATTGGCAACTGTAAGATATGAATTGGTTTCATTTTAAAGCTTACTCTTTGTAATTGGTATGCATGCTCTGTGGAGTTCAATTGTTTCGTTGTTGTGTAGCATAGGAACAGTAAACATGGACAGCGAAAGAGTAAAAATTTGTGCTTTTATTCTTTACAAATTTAAACTTGGCAGTACAGCAGCAAATGCAGCAAGATGCATTTGTAGCGTTTGTGGGGAAGGTGCTGTTAGTGAAAGAACGGCACAGAAATGGTTTAAAAGGTTTAAAGAAGGAAATGAATCGTTAGATGACGAACCATATTCAGGGTGTCCATCTGTCATTGAAAACAAAAAATTCATCGAGTACGTAAGTTCAAATCCAAGAAAAAGATGTTCTGTGCTTGCTCAAGTATTCGAATGTGAAGAATCTACCGCAAGAAAGTGAATTCATTTACTTAATTTTTACAAAAGATTGGGCAAATGGATACCGCACCATTTAATGGAAGAGAACAAATACTCCTGGCTGAGCATTTCCAATATCCATTTATCGATCGAATTTTAACTTGTGATGAAAAGTGGATAGAATATAATAATGTATAACAATCACACCACTGGGTTCAGAAGAGGTCATGTGCAACAGTAACCATACCAGAACTGAGTCTCCATTCGAAGAAGGTACTAATCACTGTTTGGTGGACTACACGAGGTATCGTTCACGTTGCTTTTCTTCCACGTGACAGACTATTACTGCAGATACTTATCACAAAGAAATTGATGAAGTCATTGATGAAATTGATGATAAATGGTGATTATTTCGTTGAATAAACCTATGATTTAAAACAGATTTGAGTATTTGTATTTTTCTCTGAAAATCCACACAAACCTTTTCTGAAACCTAATAGAATAATTTCATTACAATTTATATATTATTAAAATGTATACTCCAAAATTTATTATTATGCATTTATGTCTTTCTCTGTTAATTGTGAACAAATATTCACATTACTGAGAATTGGCAAACTCAACAGATTGTAGAATATATTACTATAAACTACATCATGCAGTTGCGACACGTGCCAACAAAAGGCTTTTTTCGTAAAATACAAGAAAAAATATTAATATAACTCATCGAATAAAACGGTTCTTATGAATTATGAAGTAGTGCTATATTAGTAATTTTAACACATTGTATTAAAATATTTATTTTTAAGAAACAAACAAGTATTACTTACGTAAATGATAAGTCGGGTTGAAACAAATTTAAAAATGAGCAAAGATAGTATGAATATTACAACTCACGGTCAGCTAAACTATTTAAAACTTATATAGATGTAAAAAATATCGACACGTGCATCAACCGCAACGTACGCTGGTCAAATGACGATGACGACACACCGGGGATCTATGATGCCAGATTCTGCTCCCTATCGCGCATGCGCACTGGTTTTATTTTTAGTGTCAGAAAAGTATCTACAGGGCCGACGTGACGTTTTGCGGGGACGGGCTCAAAAATTTTGCGGAGCCTGCATTCACATTCAAATCCTACACTTAAACTTTACAACGAGGAATTATTTATTTACAAATGCTGTTACATATTACATATATTTTTTATAAGATGAATATTAAATAATAATACTTTGATAATTTTTGTCACTCCTTTCAATTTAATCAGCCAAAAAAGTGTCTGTATTTGTTAATGGTATCATTAGTCTGTAAAAAGTTAATCCAAATCGGTGCTTTTTAATTCAGTAATTTTCGTAGAGGACCCAGAGCCGAACTCCGAGTTGACTTCAGCGATAATCGCGGAAAAAGTAGGAAACTCCGAGACAAGGACAGAGAGGGCGATATAACAATTGCAGGAGAGACGAGGACAGGGCGATTAGGCTAGCATGACCTTTTTCCAAGATATTGAAGCAAAAAAGCAATATTTTCTAATAATTCTGGTTGCAAAATATTCCTTATACCTTGGCGCATGCCACTGTAAGGCCCGATTTTGAAAAAAGTGTTTGTAAACAAATTTATTCTATAAGAAAAAAAAAACCATACTTTTATTATTTATAAAGTTTTAAGGCCGAAATTGCAAAATCAGGTCTTGGAGTGGCATCCGCCAAAGTGTAATGAATATATTAAAACCAGAATTATTAGAAAATATTGCTTCTTTGCTTCAATATCTTGGAAAAACTTTGTTGCAGTGAAATCTTGATGATTTGTAGGGCAATATGGCTGCTTCGCTATTGCACTTCCCGTTGCGACGCTGTCGCCGTCTTGTTTGCTGTTATTACATCGTTAGTCTATATACGGTGTTCTACATGGTTTAGACCAAGGATGGTCAACTGTTTTTGCCCCCGGGCCGGTTGGAAAAAAATTATTTTCACGGGCCGGACGAAATATTAAAATTGAAAAATGTTAAGCAAAACACTTATTTCTTTAAGTAAACAAAATTTTATTATTAAATTTGTTTATGAATAATTGTAATTAAATCGGTTAGTATAAGGTCTTCCGAAATTTGAAAATCTTTGGTGATAGCTCTGATAAAAATTAACAATTAATAATAAGCAGTATCTTTTACATCGCAACTTTCGTCCAGAGCTATTGCATAAATATTGGCAGATTTTAAATTATTTAATAACTGATTCACGCGACAATTCAAGCGGTAACCAATAGATGCAATGCATGCATTGCAGCAAGAGGTAATCATTTTGAAAAGTGTTTGCAATAAATAAGTGTTAACAACATGTGCAAATGTAAATAAATGAGAGGAAAGACGGAAACTCTTTTGTTTCTTTTTTCGCGGTTTTCTCGAAAACTGAGCATAAACGAGCAAATCACCTAACGTTTTTTTTCTTAGTTTTTCGGTGCCCAATACGCCCCGCAGTTTAGACATTTAAATTAGGGACACCCTGTATATACAGTGGGTGTAGAATGTATTCGTACACCGACCAATTTCCCAAAAAACTTTTGAGTGAAATTGTAGTTTCTTAACTTCTTTTTTTATAATCAATGATATTTTACATATTCTCGGAAGTCTCCAACAAGGGAAAGTCCGGAACAAGCGATCCGGACGAGCGCTTTTTGAACGAGACCGGGCTCAAATGAAGGGGGCTGATGAGTATAAAAAAAGCGCAAAACATTAGGGGTATCTGGCCAGACGTTTTTATAAAAAATGGCTTTAAACATTTGCAGACCACTAGAATCTAGATATATGAAAACATTGAAGTTCTTAACAGAAGCTGTTGTAGCTGCGGGTGTTACGCCGCTGGTTCGTGTTCAGAGTTCGTGGGTTCGAGAATTCGGTTAATGGACATTTATTTTTTTTCAACTGCATTTCCATTTCTTATTTCTCTTTTTACTCACTGCTATATAAATAATATATAAGAATTGCAAATAATATTGATGTGAACATAATATTATAATAAGTACATGCAATACATAATATAGCAATAGTAGAAGTAAACATACAAATGTATGGCATGTGGTGTATTTACTATTAATAAATTATTATCAATATTAATATTAATATTATT